ATATATATATATATATACATACATACACATACATGCATATATAGGCCTATGTTCATGTTTAGATTTATATATATATATATATTGTATACATACAATAACAAACACTGTCATGCTATCTTGCATTCGGTGGATGCCTGGTGTTTGGTAACGCAATCGTGTGAGACAGCTAATCAAATTATTTTGATGACAGACTTCGGCTTAGGCACTTCAGTATGACTAAACAACATTTGAGATGGTTTGCGATGAGACTGCATGGCCGCTGGTTAGTCCAGTTATCCAGTCACACCATCTGTTATGGCAAGGCACAGTAGTTTTTTGCTGCGCATTGAGGAATGTATTTCCATCATCCGACTCGATTGAGCGATTTTTATATGCGCATTTTTAGAATGTATGCCCAACTTGGCGTCCATTCAACGTTGTTATACAATATCCCCAAATTCGCATAAAAATATGTAGAAACACAATCTGTAGCTAATGACATTTAATTGGCCCGGAATGAAAGTTAGGTAACAGTGAGGCATCACAATTATTTACCAACACTTTATGCAGATGTAAACGTAAACTTTAATATTTTGTCCCACTCGTTTGAAATCTTCGACTTTCTTATGTGTTTAATGAAATGGATAGAAGATATCATATAAATGATAGGCCTATATATTTAATGAAAACCTACTTGCGACCTTCATGTAGGCTACATGTAACGCAACACATAAGCTACCTGATCAACGCTGCGGTTAAACCGCCGATGAACTGTTGTCTCAGAAATTCTGGCCTAGACTTGAATCAGGAAACAACAGGCAAAGTTTGGTGAAATGAACTGCAATGTCGTGCAGATAAGACAGCTCTGTTTATGGCCGTCCTCCTATTCCCGTAATACGTCTAATATATAACCAATGCGTTTTGTAAATGTCCCTTTTACAAAATTATTTAAACCATTGGAAATCACCCACCCCATAACCACAAATGTAGGCTACGCTAATTACGCCCATTTCCCATTTGTTCAACTTTAGCTTATAATCACACAGAGAAGGAAACATTTTGGTTTACAGCAAGGTAAAGTGAACTCTTCCTCAGTTCTGCCAACTACATAGGCCCACTGTAGCTGTTTAATGTGTAACTGGTTTGAGTGTTTATACAAACCCGATTACAAAAAAGTTGGGACACTGTACAAATTGTGAATAAAAACAGAATGCAATGTGGAAGTTTCAAATTTCAATATTTTATTCAGAATACAACAGATGACATATCAAATGTTTAAACTGAGAAAATTTATAATTTTAAGGGAAAAATAAGTTGATTTTAAATTTTATGGCATCAACACATCTCAAAAAAGTTGGGACAAGGCCATGTTTACCACTGTGTGGCATCCCCTCTTATTTTTATAACAGTCTGCAAACGTCTGGGGACTGAGGATACAAGTTGCTCAAGTTTAGGAATAGGAATGTTGTCCCATTCTTGTCTAATACAGGCTTCTAGTTGCTCAACTGACACAATATAATTCCACTTTTTCCCTACATGTAGGCATTTCTCATTGGTTTTCTTTTCAGGTAGGCCTACTTTTTCAACTTTTATTGAGAGACAAAAACCCCTTTCACACTGCACGTTGGTCCCAGAATGCCTTCTGTGTGAACGCAAACACGTCCCGGGATTGATTCCGGGATCGATCCCGGGTTGGGGACCTAGTAATGTACTGGCAAAAGCCTCACTGTAATAAATCTTCTTGTTACAGTATACAACAAATAACCAGATTATGAGCTTAGAAGAAGCTATTTATTAATAGCCTTTTATAGCCAAATCTCAAATATAAAATGTATTCTTTTAAAGCCGAGAATGCCTTTGAATACATCTTCATCACTAGCTGCTACTCAAAACATTGGTTATTTGCATGATCAGAATTACATTTTTTTATTGCAACCCTAATAATACCAAATTGTGAAGGTTCCAATGTCATAAAATATGAAACATTTAATATAAATTTAAATATATTTGATATAAAATTTACATTTTGCGTAGTATTTGAACTAAATGATCAAATATTTCGGTGTTATCAGCAGGTGCTGCATTTTCTTCCATTTTTGCAAACAAGTTTTTGGTTAACTGTTGAAGAATTGCATTACAAATAAAATTGACAATGTCATTGACATTTACAAAACCACCCTGTTATCAACAAGCTCAAGACTGGGTGTGCCTTATACACATATTTTCCTCTTGTGCAATGTGAATTATTTTTTGCAATGAAGATCACTGTCAGTATTAGCATAATGAGTTGAAATTTGTTCTGATGAAAATAGTAAGTATACTGCAATTTAGTTTTTGACAGCATATTTTTGATGCCCAAACTTTGTGG